CTCGCAATTTTATCGACGATGGAGTAAAATTGGAAAATATGTTTTTGTTACAGGCCAAAGCGTTGGGAAATGCTTTGTTTTTTAGTGGATTTGGCCACAATAAATTGGACCTTGTGCCTACGTGGTTTTCCAATACCCAATCTATCTTGGTTAATGCGTTTATGCCGCGCGTTCGGCTAGTGCAGGACGGAAAAAGAACCGCGCGAGGTCACGTGACGTAGATTCTTTGCAGCCTGCGATAAGCTCTAGCCTGCGGCAACAGCTTGACTGCCGTTTATTTGAAGACGTACGCCGTGAGTTTTGTGACGTGCAGAAGAACGGCGTAAGCCACGTTATGCATGGCTATGTGTATCCGTGCCCGTGCGTCGCGTTGTCACAGAAGTTACGCAGTGGAGCCCTGTGCATCCGCCTGTGGTGATGTGTCCGCGCCCGGCCGCCCTGGTGCGTGTGTCGCCTGCCCCTGCGGCCGGCCACCGTGGCGGCCTCTGTAGCCGGCCGCTGCCGCTGCCGCAGGTACCAGATGTGTGTGTCGCTGGGCATGGGCGGCTACTGCGACTGCGGCGACTCGGAGGCCTGGAAGCGGGACCCGTGCTGCGCGGCTCACCATCCGGCGGCCGGGCCGCAGCCAGCCGCCGCCGCCCGGCCGGAGCTGGCCGGCAAGGCGGCGCTGGTTTTCAGCGCCGGTGAGATCCCCCCCCCCCCCCACCGCCTCCCTTCTTCCTTTCCTGTCACCCATCGTGTCTTGCCGGTGCCCGATGCACTCCCGGGCCAACTGTAGCTCATCAGACGGCATCAACACCGGCCTGCTTCATATGTCATATTTTCCGTCCGTCACTGCAGTCTCTGCGGGCAGGACGTTATATCCGATTGCCACTTTTCCGCGATGGCTGGTGACATTTATCCCCGACAACTGCGCCTGATTTCCATGACTGACGCCCGCCCTCCAGCCGGCGTCAGTCATGGAAATTATCTGCGGGCAGGACGTTATATCCGATTGCCACTTTTCTGCGATGGCTGGTGACATTTATCCCCGACAACTGCGCCTCATTTCCATGACTGACGCCTGCCCTCCAGCCGGCGCACCTGCAGCCCGCGTGAGGGTGTTCACCAGCGTGGCGCGTTCGCTGACGCCCCGGGCCACCTCCGCGCGAGAGGGTCCACCAGCTCGCCACGTTCACTTACGCTCCCGGGCCACCTCTGCCAGAGGGTGTCCGCTAGCATGCCGCGTTCGCTGAAGCTCCGGGCCACCTTCACAGCGGTGCAGTATGCGCTCTGCGTGTTCACCCCCGACGCCTCGTTGATGAAGATGGTGCCGCTAGACCTGGACCTGGGACGGGAGCATTACCCGACCAGGAACGTGCGCTACGCCGCTACCCTCTACAACTTTGGCGTCTCCGTCTACGACAAGGTCAGGGCCCACCGAAAACAGCGGCAGGCCTGTTGTAATGCGTGTTTGTGGCGGCTGAAGTTTGTGGAGCGGTTTGCGTGTCTTTTGTCTGAGCGTCCACGGGCCTGCCGGGCGGACTGAACCCGTGCCTGAGCATACGGCACCATTCCGCAAACCAGCGAGCCCCGGACTGGGCGCGTAAGGAAGGCAGGACGGATCAGTACTGTGCTGGCGGGTTCAGTTGGCGCCCTGGGGTGGTGGTGTTTTTGCTCTCGCCACAGGTGCGTCGTGGTCAGCGCTGACTGTCACAATATGGTGGCACAGGTGTGCTAACAGCTGCCCGGTGCGTTTGAGGCCCATGGGGCCGGCCGGACGTGGGGGGTCTCCGTGACGCCTCTGCAGGATTGCGCGGCGGCGCTAAGCCACGGTGTGCAGACCTCAGCGTCCCTGACGACGACGCCCGGGCACACCCTCTGTCCTCTGTCCTCTGTGACGCGGTGCCGACGGCTCCACTGACCGTCAGGTGGCCGAGACGATCACATCCTGCACGCGCTGCTCGCCGGAGGAGGCGCGCGCCGCCGCCGCCGCCGTCCGCAGGGAGGGCGTGGCCATTCTGCACTACAGCGACTTTAACGTGAGTCGGCGCGTCGGAGCGGGAGGGCGATGGCGGCCGGGGCGTCCAGAGGCCGACGGCCCCCGCTCCACTACCTCTGGAGCCAGCCGGCGGCACGGCGCGTGCGGGAGGCAGGCGTGCCTGAGAGGCCGACTGGGCCCGCACACTGCCAACCCTGCTGTGTTGGCGGTCCCGTGACCGACGGCGCCTGCCGCCGCCGCAGGGCGCCGACGAGATGCGGAAGCGGCTGAAGCTGGACCAGCACCGCTCGCTGCGCCGCACGGAGATCCACGTGGTGCACGCGCACGTGGTGGCGCACCAGCGGTTCGTGCTGCGGCTGGTGCGGCACCTGCGCCAGCTGCTGGAGGACCGGCCGGCGCTGCGACCCATCTTCAGCGCCGTCATGGCGGAGGTCAGCACAGGGGTGGGGCAGGTGGAGGTGTCGAGACGGGGTCAAGGGGATCCAGCGCGGAGTCGAGAGGGCGGAGGGCGGATTGCAGAGGGATGTCACCGACACGACATTGTTCAGTGGAAGAATACGTGGATGACAGCGAACTGTATTGTGCCAAAGCGTCGCTCATCTGCGTGGTAACACGCTGTCACTTCGATCCCACCCCATGACCTCTTGCCTCGAAATCAGAACCATTGGTGCCTGTTGGTTTGCCTGGTGTGTTTAGTGCGTCGTGCCGTCTCGCCGTGTCTGACCGCTGGCTGGCTGCTGGATGCTGGCCTAGGGCGGCTGCTGGTCGCTGGTTGACTGCTGGTCGCTGGCTGCCTGCTGGCCGCTGGCTGACTGCTGGCCGCTGGCTGACTGCTGGCCGCTGGCTGGTCGCGGGCTGCCTGCTGGCCGTTAGCTGCCTGCTGGCCGCTGGCTGGCTGCTGGCCGCCCGTGGGCCGCTGGCTGACTACTGACTGGCCGCGGGCTGGCTGGAGCGCTGACCGCCGGCCGCCTGGCCGACAGACGGTAGGAGGCTCCGGCTCCTTGCCGTGCCTCCTGGAGCGGCTCATGGCGTGCGATTCGCGACAATGGAAGCAGATGCGCCACGAGACCCACCTCCTGCTCATACAGGGCATGCTTATGGACATCGAGTCCAAGAAGTTCTTTGCTGAGGTCAGTGAGCCATGTGAGGACCAGCTGTGGCGGACGAGCTTTGCCAAATATATCGAGGACACCTTCCGCTGCGCCAGGCTGTTCGCCAGGTGTAGAAGCTTGGCCGCGGACTCGGCATCTTTGTGTGCTCGCGTGATGGCTCGCTGGGCTCCGCTCCGAGGCTGGCCGGCGACGGCCGCTCGGTGGGCGCGCGGCACCCTTGGCGGCGCGCTGGTGCACTGGTTCCGGGCCGGCGGCCGTGCGGCGCGGTCACGGCCCGACCGGTGACGGCGATCGCTGGCAGCGGCCGCTGTTCGGTCGTGCGGTGGGTCGAAGGCGCACGCGTTCTGGAGTCGAGTCCGACCTGAGCCTAATGCTGTATGTGTGGCTGCTGTTGTTATCGACCGTCGCTTATGAGCAAAAACCTCGACTCCTTGTGAGTGTGTTAGCCTTTTGAGGAAAGCGACATGCCGGCAGCAGCTGTTCTGCGCGGCGTGCGTGTGCGTTTTTGCCGGTGGCGTTTGTGGCGACGTGCCTCCTCTAACTTGGTGCTCCCTGTGGCAGGTGTTCACCAGCCGCTACCAGGAGCAGACGCTGGACTCGCTGCCGTGCCGGGTACAGGAGCAGGGCACGGTGCTGGACCTCTCGGTGCAGATCTACACGGTGCCCTCCATAGCGCACCACCTGCTGGCCCACCACAACGCCTTGGCCGTCGTCCTCGGCACCATGGTGGACGAGTGCTCCACGTATACACACGGTACGGTCGGCTGCCGTGCTTCGCATCGCCTGGCCTCGCCTCGCCTCGCCTCGCCTCGTCTCGCCTCCGTCACACGCGTTGTCATGACAAACGCCATCTGCATGCGCAAGCGTGCTTTGAAATAAACACAAAGCAGAGTCAATTTGAGTTTCGTCCGCGTGAGTTTTTAAAAATTTCGAATTACATTATCACCGACTCTCAAGTCTAGCTTTGAAGACGTAAACTCTTGAAAGCTCACGCACTTCTCGAGTTCAAGAAAAATACCTTTGCAGTCGAGTCATTTGTCTACTACAGCTAGAAAGCTGCGTCCACTTCGTGTGATCTGGTTATCGCACCATCGAAATAAGTCCTCCGCCTTTGCAGGAAATCCAGTGTTGACGCCTATCCCCACAGGAACTCCATTGTTGACGCCTTCCCTGCCCCGCAGCAGGTTCATTGCGGACCCCTCTCCTGCCCCCCCCCCCCCCCCCCCGGCAGGAGTTCCAGTGTTGGCATATCCCCTGCCCCCCGTAGGAGGTCCAGTGTTGACGCCTCCCCTGCCCCCCCCCCCCTTATATGAGGTCCAATGTTGACCCCTCTCCTGCTCCCCAGGATGTCCAGTGTTGACACCTCCCCTGCCCCCCCCCCCCCGTAGGAGGTCCAGTGTCGACCCCTCTCCTGCTCCCCAGGAGGTCCAGTGTCGACACCTGCCCGTCCCCACAGGAGGTCCAGTGTTGAACCCCTGCCCTGTCCCTCAGGAGGTCAGCTGGTCCTCCGTGACGTGTCCTCGGACGTGGACGCGCGGCGCCGGTTCGACCGCCAGCTCTCATGCCTGATGGACGCGCGCTACCTGCTGAGCGTGGTGCCCGACGAGCGGAGCGAGGCGGTGCGCGCCGGCGTGCGGCGCGGCCTGGACGCCCTGCTAGAGCTGCTCTTCTTCTGCGAGGTACCCGCGCGAGGCGGGCACGCGCGGCTGGGCGCCGCACCTCAGGGCACACACGGGTGGTGTCCGACGTCCGGGGATGACGTAGGGAGGCCGCTGGCTGGGCTACTAAGCTCCCCTGTGTGACACTGGATGCTTGGCCTTGGTCACTGTGACTACCCCTCTGTGACAAGGATTGGAAGCCTGTTCGAGCTGTTGGGGTGTTTAATGAGTGTGTGTGAGGGGGGGGGGGGGGTCACGTAAATCTTTGTTGGCTAAGCTGGCTCCCTCGTGCAGCTGCACAATGTTTAAAAATCGTCACAAATTGGGGGAGGGGATTCCTTTGCATTATCACCACCGTGACCTGTCAGTTATGGTCACGCCTAAGAACACTTGGTGCAAAGTGCGAGGCTATGGAGATTGACGTCCGCCCGCGTGTGGTGCCCGTCCCGTCGTCTGCCCGCCGCCTGACGCTCATTCCGCCCCCCGCGTCTCGGTCGGCAGGGCATGGAGCCGGTGGTGCGCGCGCAGACGGCGCACGTGCTGTACGACACGCCGTACGAGCTGCAGCTGACGGTGGCGGTCAGCCTGGCGCCGCTGGTGACCCAGCTGCTGGAGTGGTGCGCCGCCGACCGGCAGCTGCTCGTGTACGCCTACAGGTGAGTGTCCACCGACCGGCCGGTCAGGCAAGACAGCTGGTCAGGGACGGCTCAGCCGGACCCGGACGGTGGGGGGCTCCTGCCCGCCGCTGCTAGATCGCTGAAAACAGCTAGTTCGTTCTGGCGACGCTAGTTTATGAATAACATTTGGATATTTTGGACACCTAGAGCGTCCACTCAGGGGCCATGTGATGTGGGATCACATATCATGTCTAGCTGAGTCCATGTACCTTATTTACTAAACATTCTTGTATCTGGCGACGCGTTTTGCGCTGTACCAGCAAAGACAATTAGTGTGACTTTACGACTCCCTCAGCTGCTGAGGCTATGTGGTGTCGCCCGCCTCTCACCCTGACAGTGGTAGTGGGTGCTGCTGGAGATCAAACCCGGGTAGACCTCTGATTTCCCAAACGCACAGCTTAACCACTACACAATCGGTGCCCTTACCAGTAGCTGATCGCTGTTCAGTTTTTGTGTAATACTTTCAGCGCTTCCGTGAACCTCGCTTTTGTCATTTGTTGATGTTGACCTTTTCGTGTTTTTCACCTGCGCTGGGTGGCGTTTTTTTTTTGTTGCCAATTTGTACTGAGCCGCGCCAACTGTGCTGATCCGTGCTGGCTTGCGCGGCGTCAAAGACGTGTACCACCGATGCTGATGAGCGGCAGGCGCCATGCCCGGGTGATCCGCGAGGCTGCTAAATCACCGACACGAGCCTACTGTACCCCATTCTAGTCAGCCGCGCGGACCTTTCCCGACCTGACCTGTCCTGTCCTGTCCTGTCCTGTCCTGTCCTGTCCTGTCCTGTCCTGTCCTGTCCTGTCCTGTCCTGTCCTGTCCTGTCCTGTCCTGACCTGACCTGACCTGTCCTGTCCTGTCCTGTCCTGTCCTGTCCTGTCCTGTCCTGTCCTGTCCTGTCCTGACCTAACTCGACCCAACCTGAGATGATCTGACCTGATTGCAGCGCCGTCCTGCGCAAGCTGCACGCGCGGCTGCCGCCGGACAAGTACTTCCGTCGTGACCGGGCCGCGCTGTTCGGCCGCTCGCTCAGCGTCAGCCAGTACACGGTCACCACCATCCCGGTGTCGCTGGAGCTGCCACTTTCCCGGCTGTTCGCCGGCCTCCACCTGCACTTGGGTCAGTGACACAGACTCTCGGGAGACGGTGCTACAGGTTCCGGGCGCGGCACGGGGCTGGTGTCTCGACAGGGGTGGTGGTCGGCTGCCGGGAGACGGTGCTGCAGGTACCGGGCGGGGCACGGGCTGGTGTCTTGACAGGGGTGGTGGTCGGCTCTCGGGAGACGGTGCTGCAGGTACCGGGCGCTGCACGGGGCTGGTGTCTCGACAGGGGTGGTGGTCGGCTCCCGGGAGACGGTGCTGTAGGTACCGGGCGCTGCACGGGGCTGGTGTCTCGGCAGGGGTGGTGGTCGGCTCCCGGGAGACGGTGCTGTAGGTACCGGGCGCTGCACGGGGCTGGTGTCTCGACAGGGGTGGTGGTCGGCTCCCGGGAGACGGTGCTGCAGGTACCGGATGCGGCACGGGGCTGGTGTCTCGACAGGGGTGGTGGTCGGCTCCCGGGAGACGGTGCTGCAGGTACCGGGCGCGGCACGGGGCTGGTGTCTCGACAGGGGTGGTGGTCGGCTCCCGGGAGACGGTGCTGCAGGTACCGGGCGCGGCACGGGGCTGGTGTCTCGACAGGGGTGGTGGTCGGCTGCCGGGAGACGGTGCTGCAGGTACCGGGCGCGGCACAGGGCTGGTGTCTTGACAGGGGTGGTGGTCGGCTCTCGGGAGACGGTGCGACAGGTGCCGGGCGCGGCACGGGGCTGTTGTATCGGCGGGGGTGATGGTCGGCTCTCGGGAGACTGTGCTGCAGGTACCGGGTGCGGCACGGGGTGATTTTGGACACCGGCCTACCCCATGACTGTCACCCGGCCGCCTGCCCCGCCGTGGCGGACTGGGCCGCGGGGGTCAGGCTCCCCTGGCACCGCCCTACCCCATGGCCGCCTCCCAGCCGTGTGACCGGGCGCTGCCGTCCGCCGCAGCCGCCCACGGCCTCAGCTACGGCAGCGCCGAGTTCGCCTCGCTGCCGGAGCGCGTCTCGCCGCTGCAGCTGCTCGAGCGGCCACTGCGCGCACTCGTGATGGATGCCCAGGTGAGGACCGGGCCGGCGGCGGCCGGCGGGACCGCGGCCGGGACAGGGGCGCCGCCGCCGCCGCCGACCGAGCCACGCGCTGACAGCGCACCAAACGCTCAGCTACCTGTCTCAGCATGACTGCCCGCTGTTGCGCGCTGATTGCGTCTGTCGTCCGTGTGCGGCGATCGGGCGGCGTTCGGTGGGCGCCGGGGAGTCGTTCCCATGCCGGCTTTCCCGGGATGTCTGCCCGCTGTGATGGACCCGGCTGTACCCCAGCCACGCCCCGGTGCCCGGCGGTGGGGCGGAGCCCGAGGCCGGCGGGCGGACACCAGTCCAGTGAGCGGTCGCCCTCCGGCAGGTGCGCGCCGGCCAGTGGAAGCGGAACGGCCGCTCGCTCGAGGTCATGTGCAGCTGGTACTCGCTCTCCATGCAGGTGGTCGACATGCGGGACCGCGACCTGCAGGTACGTCTGTGGGCGCGCCGGGGCTTGTCGGCTTCACCCTCGCCGTCACGCGGGCTCCGTCCAGCGCCGGGGTGACGCGGGGCAAGGACTGGACGGTGTCACTATGGACACGGATGGAGTAGTTGTTCGGTCTGTCCTCACCTGGCATGCTTGTATCTATACGACGTCTCGGCCAGGTCATTCCCCAGCCGTCGTCAGGTGGTGTAGAGTCTTCAACAGGACTGATCAATCCATTTCTATTTTGATTGGCCGCAACGTGCGCACATACTAGTACGCCACACACTGACGATGGTCCGAACAATTATTCCATCCGTGGTACTAGTACGTATCAGTGCGTATCAGTACTAGCACGTCTCAGTCGTTCGTTAGAACTGTGACGGCGCGGCGTCGTTGCATGACGACACAGTCCGTCCGTCCATAGCTGCCCGGTACGGCCCACGTCCGTTCGAATGGACGGCACCCAGTGCCTTATGTCCGCTGGGCGCCTTGGTTTCCGCGCGAGCTGTTGGCCGGACATTAGACCAGTTGTGATACCGCGGGCGCCATCAGACGGCGGCCGCCTGCTGTCGGGCCGCGGTGCCGCCGGCCGGTGCCGGCCCTGACCGTCTGCGACGCGCGGGCCCCAGATGGCGCAGATCTGCGCCTCGCTGCTGGACAGCGACGAGTTCGTGACGACGCTCATGTTCCGGCACGGCGCCAACCTGTACCTGACGGCCGGCGCCGAGGGGGCCAGGGTGAGGCGGACGCCCGGCTGCAGGCGCTGCTAGCCACCGAACGCGAGGCGCCGAGGTGGAGAGCGAGGCCCGGCGCGGCAGATGGGGTGGTCAGGGGCGGACCCCTCCCCGGTCAGGGGCTAGGCGCCGAGGCGGAGAGCGAGGGCCGGCGCGGCAGATGGGGTGGTCAGGGGCGGACCCCTCCCCGGTCAGGGGCTGGGCGCCGAGGCGGAGAGCGAGGGTCGGCGCGGGAGATGGGGTGGTCAGGGGCGGACCCCTCCCCGGTCAGGGACTAGGCGCCGAGGCGGAGAGCGAGGGTCGGCGCGGCAGATGGGGTGGTCAGGGGCGGACCCCTCCCCGGTCAGGGGCTAGGCGCCGAGGCGGAGAGCGAGGGTCGGCGCGGGAGATGGGGTGGTTAGGGGCGGACCCCTCCCCGGTCAGAGTCTTCACTAGTGTCGGGGTACGGTGAGCCGTTGTGATAGCGCGTCTAGGTCAGGTCACCGCCGCGCGGATGACGCTGGACTGATTCATGTGTCGTGCCGGTTGGTGCTTCCTTAGAACCAAGTGTCTGCGGCCGATTCCGTGGCCAGTCTATGGCGCGCGCGTGGGGTCGGTTGCGTGCCTGGCTGTGCCGGGCGCCGCGGGCCGGGCCTGACGGACGCCACCGTCCGCCGGCAGCTGGAGGACGGCGCCGACCGGGACATGCGCGAGCACATGGAGAACAACATGGCCGACTTCCTGCTGCTGCTGATCCACGTGTTCGGCGAACGGTTCCACCCGGGCGTCGGCGAGGTCACCAAGGAGCAGTGTGTGCAGAACGAGGTGCGCCGTCGGCCTGTCGGGCCGGGGACAGGTGCCGTCGCGTGGGATGACACTGATCCCCTGCCAGTTTAACTCTTGGAGCGTCACTTAGCTCGGGTAGATGTGTGGTTTTGCACCGTCGCTGTCCTCCCGTCAGTGTATTGACGTCGACATGACGCGCACAGTTTTCGTCTTGTTTAAGTCGCACCAGTCTCACGAGTTTCATGGTGCGGGACCCATCGACCGCAACGTGATAAGTCCAATCTGTGCCCACGCCCATTCGGCATCGGTGCGGTGGAAGGCCCGCCACCTGCACCCGCACAAGTGGCTTCGTTCCTCGTACACTGTGCGTGCCCATCGAGCCCCGCATGTCGTCATCTGTTGTCGGCCGTCCAGCCGGCACGCGTTCGTCACCGTGCCCGCCGGGCCGCTCCGTTTCAGGTGATCCAGTTCCTGTGCGTCAAGCCGATGGCGCACTCGCAGGTGGCCAAGCGGCTGCCGGAGGCGGACGTCAGCCTGCTGGAGACGGCCGTGCACCAGGTGGCCGACTTCGCCGTGCAGGAGGACCACCGCGGCCTACGCACCTACCAGCTGAAGCCAGGTGCGCCGTCCTCACGTGGCTGAGCACGGCTTTTTCGCGGCGCTGTACGGTTCAACAACCGGGCGTGTCCATGTTGTTACATCTCCCGACAGACAGTGCGGTGTGGCCTAGGGGGTCTGCACGGCTCGGACGAACGGCGAGCGAACACACGTGGGGTGCCTCTCTGGCCTGCCCGCCGGGGCCGTCTGTCGTAACGTCTCCCGACGGTGTGGTGCGCTGCCTCGGGCTGCTCGGCTTGGACGGACGGCCGGGCGGACACGCTGGGGGTGCCTCTCTGGCCTACCCGCCGGGGCCGTCTGTTGTAACGTCTCCCGACGGTGTGGTGCGCTGCCTCGGGCTGCTCGGCTTGGGCGGACGGCCGGGCGTACACGCTGGGAGTGCCGCTCTGGCCTGCCCGCCGGGGCCGTCTGTTGTAACGTCTCCCGATGGTGTGGTGCGCTGCCTCGGGTTGCTCGGCTTGGACGGACGGCCGGGCGGACACGCTGGGGGTGCCTCTCTGGCCTACCCGCCGGGGCCGTCTGTTGTAACGTCTCCCGATGGTGTGGTGCGCTGCCTCGGGCTGCTCGGCTTGGACGGACGGCCGGGCGGACACGCTGGGGGTGCCGCTCTGGCCTGCCCGCCGGGGCCGTCTGTTGTAACGTCTCCCGATGGTGTGGTGCGCTGCCTCGGGCTGCTCGGCTTGGACGGACGGCCGGGCGTACACGCTGGGGGTGCCGCTCTGGCCTGCCCGCCGGGGCCGTCTGTTGTAACGTCTCCCGATGGTGTGGTGCGCTGCCTCGGGCTGCTCGGCTTGGACGGACGGCCGGGCGGACACGCTGGGGGTGCCGCTCTGGCCTGCCCGCCGGGGCCGTCTGTTGTAACGTCTCCCGATGGTGTGGTGCGCTGCCTCGGGCTGCTCGGCTTGGACGGACGGCCGGGCGACACGCTGGGGGTGCCGCTCCATCCCAGCCGCCGGCCGGGGCCGCGCATTCGCCCGCCACCGCTGCCGCTGCCGGGTCGGCAGACCGGCGGCGGGCGTCTTACGAGTGCGGCGTCTCGTTGCAGAGTACTACTCACGCTACAACTGCATGTGGCACCACTTTTCGCGCCACGACCGCTCGCAGTCGGAGCGGCTGCAGCGCAAGAGGCGCCAGGAGACGGGCGACCCGTCGTGTCTGCCGCCGCCGTCGATGCCTCCCTTCCAGCCGTCGCTGCGCTCGGTCAGGGGCGTGCTCGTCTGCCACACCACGCTGCACACCATGCTGGCCGTGCTGAAGAGGTGGGTTGCGGCCGGCGTCAGGTCGGACGCCGCCGCGCGGCGTGGGAGTGTAACAGCACGTGTTCGTGTTCATTGCCGGGCCGTCTCGGTTGTAATGTAGGCAAGCGAACCATGCTTGCAGGACCGACTCTGGAACTCAGAGCTCTAGATGTGGCGAGTGTGAACATTCACGAAAATGCTCTTTGCGGATGTCATGGAATTGGTGCAGAGCAAGGAATAACAATGCTGGAGCGTGCATCCGATCGTGTTACCCAGTCCCTCGCGCCACCACCAGTCACGCTCCAATATTCAAATGCTGACTTGAACCCGCGGCTCGCCGTTCTCCACGGGCGCGACTCCGTGGCGGATGCGGATGGTGCGGTGTACTCTGCATGTGCCGGCGGCCATCGGGCGTGACGGTCCGGACCGGCGAGACCGGCGCGCGACGTCCGCTCTCGTGACGTTCGCCTCCCCCGCCGCGCGGCCTTCGCAGGCTGACGGATGCCGAGCCGGCCGCCTTCTCCGAGGCCATCTTCCAGCGCACGCTCTTCCTGATCGGCATGGCGCTGAACGAGGAGGAGCGTCAGGTGGGCCAGTCGGCCGCCTTCAGCTTCTCGGAGCCCGCCCACCAGGTCGGCCTCGACCGCGCCCTTCGTCAGATGGTGAGCGGGCGATGTACTTCGCCTTCCGAAGACGCGCGGCTTTAGGGGAATGGGACGCGTGGTCCGTAGCCACGTAGTCAGAGCCCGTTAGATGGACGGCGCTGGCCTTCTGGGTACCTTTGGACTGAATGTGAGTCAACTGGCGGGCGAGCATGTAGGCGTCACTTACACGAACGTCGAGAACAAGAAGAATACACTGCATCGTAGGGCCGGCACATGCCGGAACAGGGCGCAGAGCACGGAACATACTCGCGATGCGGACATGGCAGCCTAACCCAGTGACTGTCAGTGGGTGGCACAATATCCCCAAATATTTGTCACGGTACAGCGGGTCCCGAGTGGTGAACAGGCTACAGAACAGGCCCCGGCGGCGAGCGAGCGACAGCACGTGTAGCGAGGGAAGTGTCGTGGCTGTCCTCGTCGCGTTCGTGGCGGGCTGACGCCTCTGTCAGGATGTTTCCGTGCTATACTGCTCGTCAGGTCACACGGCTCTCTTCTTGAAACTTCTCCGGTGTATTGTACAGCTCGTGGCACACGTACACACTGTTGACACACACGCAGCGATCAGTAACATCTTTACATGGAGTGGTCGACGCTGCATAACGCTCGCTCAGTTGACATGCTTCAGCTCGTGTCGCTGCAATTGTATTTCAGTGGAACCCTTTGCAACGCTCATCATCGCCCGGCACGGTCGCAAACATTTCATGTCGCAATCCATGTCTCCGAAACATAAGCATTGCTTATCATTCGTATACGTTAACCGCATCAAAATTATAACAACAGATCTTCTTATATGAGGGGCTCCACCTTTGCCTCAATGTCTTCGTTTTTCTGCCATGAAAGGTATTCTGCTTCTCGATTTGTATCATCTTGTCATGTAGGTAGGAAACAACTCACACGTAATCTGACCTTCTCTAAATCTTCGCGCGCACGGTTCCCTGGTACCCCTGATTGCGTGAGCCCTTAGCTTGATCGTCTCCAGCTGGACGCTAACGGCTGGCGGCCTGTGGACGGTCAGGTGGGCAGTCCTCGCGTCAGCTCCCACGCCGACCTCCTCGCCTGGGTGATCGCCAAGCTGGACCGGCTGCTGGGCCGGGCGGCGGCCGGCGCCGTGGGCGCGGCCAGCGCCCCCGCCGATGCCGGTGCTCCTGCCGACGCCGGCGCCGAACAGCAGCGGCGCCGCGCGCCGGCGGCCGCCCGGCGCGCGCGCATCCTTGGCCAGATGCAGGCGCAGCAGAAGAAGTTCATTGCGCAGAACGTGGCGGCGCTGGCCGAGGAAGAGGAGCGGCCGGCGGCCGAGGGCGGCAGGCTGGCGGCGGCTGGCGGCGGCTCCGCCATGGACCTGAGCGAGTGTGCCGGTGCCGAGGAGTGGCCCGTGTGTCTGGGGCCGCGGCAGACGGCGCGGCCGGCCACCGCCGCCGAGTACACCTGCATCCTATGCCAGGCCACCGAGCAGGTGTCCAGCACCCGCCCGGCCATGGTGATGGCCGCCTTCGTGCAGCTGTCGACTGTGCTGTCGCGCGACCGTTCGCCGGCCGGCGAGCCGCCCACGCTCTTCGTGCCTGCCAGCCTGCACCGGCTGCCGCACACCTCCAGCTGCGGGCACGCCATGCATGCCGCCTGCTGGAAGGCGCACTTCGACAGCGTAGCCAGGGAGCGGCGCATCCACCCCAGGTGAGGGGCGCGGCGGCGCGCCGCGGCCGGCCAGCCTCGAACGGGTCGAGCGGCGTAGTCGGCACTGAGACGGGAGGCTGCTCGGCTGCGGAACATCGCAGGATACAGAGTCCGACTTCTTCTGCTATCAGATGTCAGTGTTCGAGAGTGAGCAAACAGCGCAGCATCGGGCGGTTTGCGGTTGTAATGGGTTTCGTGATGCTGTGTTTGGGTCCGGCAGCGCATAAATCCCGAGACCTGCGATATGTTTCGTTTCTCCGCGCGGGCTGTGGTGTGTCGCATCGACGCAACACGGTGTGTTGCGTGGTATCATGGTTGGTAGCGCGACTTTGAGGTGCGTTCCTTCACCAGCCGTATGGCCACTGGGCGTATTCGCTGTGCCGTGACCGCGATGTCGTCGCCCTCCAGGGTGCATTACCTGTCCGGCTTCGACGTGCAGAAGCAGGAGTTCCTGTGTCCGCTGTGCCAGCGGCTGAGCAACACGGTGGTGCCGCTGGTGCCGGATGGCACGCGCCGCCGGCCGGCCGGCGAGCGCCCCAGCGGGGACCACATCTCCGTCTGGCTGACTGGTCTGCTGCACGCCAGCACTCTCTCGGTGAGGCGGCAGCGCCGGCTGCGCGCGCCGCCGGGCGCACGGTCACGCCGCCGGGCGCACGGTCACGCCGCCGGGCGCACGGTCACGTCGCCGGGCGCACGGTCACGCAGCCGGGCGCACGGTCACGCCGCCGGGCGCACGGTCACGCCGCCGGGCGCACGGTCACGCCGCCGGGTCCGCGGTCACGTCGCTGGGCGCACGGTCACGCCGCCGGGCGCACGGTCACGCCGCCGGGCCCGCGGTCACGTCGCCGGACGCACGGTCATGCTGCCGAGCGCACGGTCACGCCGCCGGGCGCGTGGTCACGCCGCTGGGCTCACGGTCACGCCGCCGGGCCCGCGGTGACGCCGCCGGGCGCACGATCACGCCGCCGGGCGCACGGTCACGCCGCTCGGCGCACGGTCACGCTGCCACATGTGTCGCTCAGGCGAGGACTGCGCGCCTGTGTTTTGGGCGCTAGTACCGTGTGTGTCCTGTGGGTGGTGAACGTGACGGTCGACCCCGGGCTGGGGGTTTATGAATGGATGCCTTTCTGTGATGGTCACGTCTTTGTGTATGGCTGGGAAACCGCTCATGCGTTGTGGTTGTGGTGAGCAGCCTCGGGCAAGTCGTACACAGTGGATGGGGTATTCGATAACAGCTTGTCCGCTTTCGTAGTTACACACAAACCAGGTGGGACATCGTGAGGGTGCGTGCATCCTGAGTCGTCATGTCATGCGCGAGCAATCCGTGTGGGGATCCTGGGGTCGTCCAAACCGGCGCGATGCCGCGCTTGGTTGGACTGAATAGTGTAATTACCGCACTGCTGCACGCGAATAGAAACGGCGTCATTGATCTCAGCGATCAACACGCGAGATATTCCTTATTTCGTTTGGTTTCTTCACGACCTATGTTCATTTGGCATAAATCCCCGCCCTGTCACAAGGTCAAACCGTCACTTGGCGAGCAGCGGCGGGCACGTGACCTGACTTGACCTGGTTGGCAGGAGGAGGAGGCGGTGGCCGCCGCCGAGCCGCCGCCGCCGGGCGAGGAGCGGCCGGCCGGCGCCCTGCTGTCGGCCGTCACCCACCACATGTCTCACCGGGAAGGTGAGCTGCGGTGGTACCGCCGCCGAGCCGGCCCGAGTCCACCGATAGTCCACCGATAGCCCACCGACAGTCCACCGATAGTCCATCGATAGTCCACCGACAGTCCACCGACAGTCCACCGATAGTCCACCGATAGTTCACCGCGACCCGCTCAGCTATTGGAGCGGTCCTAAAGCAAAACATGCCTCCTGGAAGTCACAGTATCTCAGGAGAGCCAATTTGTTCGTAAGCAAAACATATGTGCCTCCCGAAAATTTTGTTATTTTGAGAAGATGCAGTTCGTGCCCTTGGACAGCAGTACTGGTTCCACGGCCTCGCGGTGACATCACAGGCTGGCGGATTGTTTTCTTTGAGTGGCAAGCGTAGTGAGTCCGGCGTTTATGACGTGGCCATTTAACCAGTGCTGGGAGACGCCGCTTTCTGGTTCAGGAGGTCTAAGGGAATCGTGGATTTAGACGCCCTGTTAGGCTTGCGCCGTTACGCAGGTGCCCCATCACGGCTGATACCGTGATGCCCTGGGTATCCGAGGAAGGAACACCGCCCGAAAACGAGCGGCCAGAACCATCGTCCCTAAATGCGCTGCTCCCGGCTGCGGCCGCCCGTGAGCGGCGACGCAGTCCTAGCGTGGCGCCTGGCCGTTCGCTGACCCACGTGGCGAGCGCCTCACCGCACCACCGCTCACCTCGCGCTGTCACACCGCCCCGCCGTCTGCCCGCCGCGTGGGACGCTTCGCTGGAGACGGCCGCCGCCGTCGGGAGCGCGGGGCGCTGCCGGCTGGCTGCGACTGACACCGGACCTGCTCTCCAGGCGGTCAGTTCGCGAGCGTGGCGGGCCTGGGTGACCTGACGCCCAAGACGCACAAGTCGGCCCGGGCCATGGCCGAGAAGTTCTGCAGGTCGACGTTCGCGGTACGTCGAGGCTGGGTGGATATTATTGTTCGGATTGTCCCCACTCTGAACGTTCAGTAGAAAGCCGTAAAAGTGCGTAGATATCGGGTACGTATTGGCTGTCTTCGGGGCGTGGCATTTCTTGTTCGGCTGAAGCATTGTACAATTGTGGATTGTGACTGCGGTTGTCGCGTTGCTCTGGGATTTTTAGTGTTTGCTTGGAGGTCCCTGGACTGAATGTAAATTTGGTCCAGGAACTCCGTGGCGACATCCCTCGCGGGCGACATCCTGTTCTCTGGGGCCTTCTGAAAATGCGCTGATTTTGAGAAGATACACTTCTTGAATTTTGACAAAGAGCACTAATGCCATGGCTTCGCGGCAACACCTCGGGCCGGCGACTTGTTTCCTGTGTGTGGCAAGCGGGATGAATCCGGCGTTCGTGAATTGGCCATTCAACCAACGCTGGGCAATACTGTGTACTGGTTCGGGATGTCGAAGGGGATCGTTAATTTCGACGCCCTGTTCGACTTGTGCCGCTACGCATGCGGACCTGTCACGGCTGATGCCGTAATGTCCTGAGATCCGAGGAAGAAACGTCGCCTTTAAACAACCTGTCAGAGCCTCCTTCGTTTCGACTCCCTTCTCCAACCTCATCCAGAACGCCCTTGGGCCATGGAACTCCTTGGGCTACTCCGCCGGGAGCCCTTGGTCCCCGGCTGAGTGGCCCACTGGCAGCGGGCGACAGAGGGCGGGCCTCTGTGCCGACAGGCGACGCACGGCTACGCGGCGTCCCGCGTCGACCGGCGCCTGCCGATGGCGGCGCTTCGCTCCTGCGCCTACTCGCTACACGCCACCGAGCAGCTGCTGCGCGAGTCGGGCCGGCCGCTGCTGGCCGAGCCGGGCAGCCGCGCGCACCTCTGCCTGGCGCAGCTAGTGCGCCTGTGCTCCACGCTGACGCCGCTGGTGGCCGGGCTGGCGGCGGCCAGCGACAACTGCCGCGCGCTGCTGCGCCTGCTGCTGCGGCCGGCCGTCGGCGGGCCGGGTGCCATCCAGCCGGACGCGTTCGGCCTGGTGGTGGCGCTCTGTCACGGTCTGCCGGCCCTGTTCGCCGCCGACGCCGAGCGGCTGCTGGCGCCGGCCGGCTCGCTACAGGTGAGGGCGGCGGCCGGCGGAGCTGACGCTCGCGTGGCAGAGCGGCCGACGCGTGTGGGACGGCAGCTGCCGGGTCCTGCTCCCGGCCCGTCGTGTGGTGGACCACAGCCGTAATCCTGGTGCGGTCGACTGCGGGGGCGTGCGTACGGCGCGCTATTGCCAAGGCATGTTGTATGGCCGATTCGCCATCAGACTGACTGGGGCTGTCAGGAGTATGCGCCGCGAGCTCCGGCAGTCGGCTCTGCCGCTGCGGCTGGTGCCGGAGCAACTCCCGACCGACTGGTGCCGCTGCTGCAGGACCTGCACTGCGTGCGGCTGGCGCTGGTGCTGCAGCTGGTGCAGGTGCTGCTGACGATGGACGTGGCGGAGCTGGCGCGCCAGGAGCCGATGGAGACGGACGGCGAGCCGGCCGACCAGGACGAACAGCAGTGGCTGGCCGAGCTCTACACGCTGGTCCGCTCGGCGGCCGGCATCGACGTGGCCGACGTCAGCCCGCCGCTGCTGCGCCAGTACATCGTCAGCGCCGTGTAAGGGGTAACAGCATGTCACCAGCTCCATGCAAGTGCCAGCGGTACGTTAGCACCGTGTTAGTGGTAACAGCACGTCACCAGCTCCATGCAAGTGCCAGCGGTACGTTAGCACCGTGTGAGTGGCAGCACTAAGTCGTGAATGTCATGTGGGAAGCCGCTCTCCCGCTGTTTGTAAGACGTCAGCTTCAGCCCAGGCGTGTGCTTGCCGCGTGTCTCTCATTCGAACGCGAGGCAGTGCACCAATGCGGGGTCCGCCGGCTTCGCTCGCGAACGCTGCTGAACATGTGTGTGAATTGTACAAGTGCGGCGTCATTTCTGTTCGTGGGTCCGTGTTTGCCGCGCCGCCCTTGCCTGGCCGCGTGGCCGCAGTCTGTTTGTCCCGCTACGTCCCGCCACGTTCCGTCGGCGCCGTGTCCGCAGCACGCCGTTCCTGCGCTGCTGCGCCCTCTACTTCCACTTGCTGACGGGCGTGCGCGCGCCGGCGGAGCTGCAGCAGGCGTTGCCGCTGACCGCGCAGCTGCCGCACCTGCTGCGCTATCTGGGGCTGGACTCGCTCTGCGTGCCGCAGGCGACCGATTGCCACAGCGCCCTCTACGAACTGGTGTTCCGGTGAGTGACGCGCCGGCGTGACGGTCGCCGCGCTCAGAGCGCCGGGTCACCGAGCGATTTCAGCCCGCGGTCAGCGAGGCCTCCGGCCCGGCTCGGTATCCGCCGTTGCGACCCGAACGGCTCGCGGCGGCGCCTGAGCTGGCGTCGCGTCCGCTCTCCGAGCGCGATGAAGGGTTCTGCGGATGGGTGCGGTCAGCACGGCGGCGCGGCAGCTTCAGCAGCTGGCTGCTGCGCCGTTGGCGGGTGGCAGTCAGGTCGTGAATAAGCGGCGTCACAGCAGTTGAAGGATTTTTTGTTGTGGCCTGATGCTCGAGCGGACTTTTGCAAGTGTTCACGATGCACGTTGTTCCACTACCCTTCAGTGGGGACCCATCGCCCACGGTAGTGATATGAGCGGCCGGCAGTTGTGGTTTCGGACTGTTATCGAATCTGGATCTCCCCGTGGAAGTTGGTGACATTTCCAGCTGCTGATCTGTTACACTGGGGGCATGGTGGCGATTTGCGTCGGACGCCGCTGCCGTGGTGTGACGAAGTGCGTCCGCCGGCCAGGTGGTGCCGCCACTCTGCGGCCTCTCTGGCGCAGACGCCCGTGCGCCTCTTCTCACCGGGCCGGGTCAGCCGTCTGATCGACCTGCCGCACGAGTACTCGGACCTCATCATCCAGGTGAGCAGCACGCGTAATCGGGGAATAGGCCTCGTCATGTAATGAGTTACCGGAGACTGACGTGTTTGGTTAGTTGAGTGTTTCGCCGAGACGCGACACACTATGTTGACTCGACGAATGTCACTGCATCAGTGACTGCGTTGTTCGGCACGGACGACGCCTCTGACGTCGGTACCATCGCAGCGGCTGACAGGGCGCGCTCCTCCGTGCCGTCCCCAGGCGTCCAGTTTCCGGTGTGAGTGCGGCGAGTCGGACGCGGCGCTCAGCCCGGTGCTGTGTCTGGTGTGCGGAGTCATGCTGTGCTCGGACGTGGCCTGCACGCGCGACCGGCTGCTCTCGAGGCGGGGCATGGAGGGCCACGCGCTCAGCTGCGGCGCCGGCGTCGGTCTGCTGCTGCTCGTGCGCCGCTGCAAGCTTTACCTGGTGCACTCGGTCGCCGACGCCATCGCAAGGAGTGAGCGCCGCCCGAGGATGGGGGAGGGGGTGTGAACGGTATCGGGACCGTACACGGGGTACAGCCCGGGCGGTGCCCCAGTCCGCGCCCCCTTCGCGCTCCCCGCTCGTCGGCTCGCCGGGAGCAGGGACTGAGAGGGTCCAAGGTTCGAATAAGGGCTTGGACGTGAGTTAGGCACGTCACTGAAAGTAAGTTTGACTCGTGTCGTCCCATTTGTGACGGTGATTATGCAACTGAGCTATGTTGCGATAACGCTACTGGTGTTTTCTGGTCTAGCTGAGTTTGACAATATCACTGAATACTGATGATATTACTAAGTATTGATGATATCACGGAGTAAGCACTGATGATATCACGGAATACTGATGATATGATAGCACACACCATATGTCACGGGTGTCACTTTATAAAACCAATGGTATCTGAAATCGCTGATGATATCAAATGTCACCGATGATATCTTATATCAATGGTGTCATCTTATATGAATTATATCCCTGGTCAAGTGATCAGGAAAAGCATGCAAAAATGTCATGTGACCTTCCTGGTGGCCTGCACAGAACAGTCTGGATTTATTCAAAGCGATGCCATCGTTCTGTAGATGGTGTATGGCACAGCTTTGACCACACTGATGGATCCCCATTTGGCTGCCTACCACATCTGTATGCCCAGCCCTGCGCCGTTGTAGCGCGGCCTGATCGGACGGCGGCCGTGCGTCCCCGCCACCAGACGTGTGGCACGCGCTCGCTGGGGGCGAGATGCTCGCCGCTGCCTGGTCTGACTGTGCGCCGTGCGTTTGCCAGAGGCGCTGTTCCCGCCGCCGTATGTGGACCGGTTCGGCGAGGTGGACCAGGGCCTGCGGCGTTCCAACCCGCTGACGCTGCAGCTGGAGCAGTACGCCAAGCTGAACCGGCTCTGGCTGTCTCACGGCGTCTCGGACGAGGTCACGCGCTACATGGAGGAGTTCTCGTCCGGCATGATCCTGGACTGAGCGGCCGCTGCGCCGCGCGTGCCGGGCGGTGTCGAGTCCGACCTGGCGACAGCGCCGTTTGACGCCGGGATCGGCGGATGGTCGTCCGCCTGCCTGACGAGGGTGGCGGCCCGCCGAGGGTGGACGTACGTGGGGTCGACCGCGCTCACTCGGCGCAGGCCGGACCTCGGGGTCGAGGGTGACCTCTGCCGTGCTCGCGACGGGACTGGACCTTCGCTCGGGGCGGCGCTGGGCTCGCTGCGGCCCTCGGCCCGCCCGCTGGTGACCGGCGGCCCGACCTCGGGCGGTGTCGCCGCCGACCGGCCGGGGCGCCGCCGCCGCCAGCGCCGAGCGGCGCTCGGAAGTTTCCTGCGCTTTGGCTGTGTGATCAGACGCGTGTGATGTGAAATGAGACACGTGTGATGTGAAATCAGACACGTGTAACTGATGTCGCGGCAACTGACGTCACGGACTGCGCCCTTCGGCTGTTGGTGTAGACATGATTGAAAATGATGATTGGAGGTTTTACAATAAAGGTGTTTGTTAAGGATTGCTGCGGTCTTGCTGTCCAGAACCTTCTCCGAATGAGGCATGGAGGTACTGCTTAAATTGAGATGTCAAGCAGGCATTGGAATATGTTATGAAGGCACTCGACGTTTCCAGCAGTGCTCATTGTACACCGGAGCCATGAACACTTGACAGGTAACACAACACCAGAACCACGTGGTCAGCGTGGTCCACCGGCACCGAATGGGGGGAAAAACAAATTCCGGGAATCGTAGCAATTATTGGGATTCTGCTGGGGTGAAATCTGATACAGTAACGGGTTACCCCTGTTTGGCCGCTAGTATCGTGAGACACGACGATGGCAAATGCTTGATGCCACATATTTGTTCAACACGGAAGTCAGTGACGAGCGGAGCATCAGCAAGCATTAAAAGCATTAGAAGTGGTGATGGTAGTAGTAGTAGTAGTAGTAGTAGAAGTAGTAGAAGTAGCGGTAATTGTAGAAGTAGTAGAAGTAGCAATAGTAGTAGTAGTAGCGGTGGTGGTAGTAGCACGCCTGGAAAACCGGAGGCACGGAGTTCAATTCCCCGCTGTGCGAACCCTTTCTGCCAGGGCGAGAGGCAGGCGACACCTTAGTAGCAGGCGACCGCCTTAGTAACTGATTTGATCGGAAAGTACCAATGACACCCAGAGCCAAGGGGGAGGGAGCAAATCAAGCTCTTGTCAGGCGCGAGCGTCGGATCTGTGGACCGCCTCGTGGCTAAGGTCTTCCGCGACCAAGAGCAGCGGTGGAAAGACCAGCCCTGGGTCAGCGAGCAGGCCATCCCGACGCCGAAAAACCTCGCTGTTGGTGACAGCTCCATGCTTTTGGAGGAGCAGCGTCAAGAGGCAAGGACCTGCAAGTTGATGGACACTGCGCCGGACCCAGAGGAGGTTGTGGACGTATTAGTGGAGTTTCTCAACAGTCTGAAGCCATCAGGTGACCCATCATATAGCCTGGTGCTTATGTCACCAGGCCGACAAAAAGCAGCAGCATCCCGATGATCCCGCTCGCCCCGTCTGACATGCCCTCTGATTTCAGACGGATCCAGGTCCCTATTAAGCAGGGCTACGCCGTGCCCATGAACAAGAGCCAAGACTCATCCAGGCTGAGAAGTGTTCTCCGATGCTGATATTTACGCCTACTGGTCCAGGGTCAGCAGCCGACCTGTTCACCCTGTCGCAGGACAACAAGACTGAGAATGTGGCGTACACGCCTGCCATGCAGCCGCGACATTCTCCGACGCAGGAATGCATTTCTAGCGGGATCACAGCGTCCACCAGTAACCGGCTCGCAGCTGCTCATCCCACATCGCGTCGTGTTTGGCTTCGGTCTCTCAGTGCCTCACTTGCCGGCCGCGGTCGGAAGCGCCGGTTTCGGGTAGCAGACCGTGGTACTGCACCTCGGAGGGGCACGTGACCCGCCGGGTCCGAGTAGCAGACCGTGGTGCTGAACTTCGGGGGGGGGGGGGGCACGTGAACCGCGGGTCTGGGTAGCAGACCGTGGTGCTGCACCTCGGAGGGGCACGTGACCCCACCGACTAGCCAGCTGGTCAAGCAATGATTCAGGATGACGATGCACCCTGTTTCGCGCCAGAGGCCACCAATGAGTAAACTGAGAATGGCATGTAACTCCAGTAGATTGCATTTTATTCTTTGCCGCTCACCGCCTGAGAGTCTAACGCCTGGGCGGGCTTGCTAACTTAACTGTTCCCGCAAATTATCTGCACTAAGAAGGGGTTGCAACTTCGTTGCCGTATCTGCATGTTAAATGCAAGTACAATTACCTCTGATGCTCCAAGGAATTATTTGCACACACTTTGGCGGGGAATGCCGCTACAACATGTTCGCGTATCAAATGCAAGCACAAATGCGCATGATGGTTGTCAGATCCAGTACGATTATGAAACCAAATGCAACTGTCTCAGCTCGCTACTTTGCAGGATAAATTTCAAAATTACCCGGGCATCGCCGGATATCACACACAGCGAGACATAAGTCCCCATTGTAGTTATTTAAGTCTTAGGCAATGCATGTTGGGCAGCATGTGTCAGGCATGGTGTGCTACTTTGTTTCTTTTGCATATTGTGGTCTTGCACTGCCGGAGTCTAGAAGATATGGGGAAAATAGGTAAATACTAACCACTTCCCGGCTGTAGATCCAAACCCGTAAAAGGTGTTTCACCCGCCACGGTTCGGAAATTTGTCGTCACTTGCCCAGCGGCGGTCTGCAGAATCGTGGGCTACGCCGGCACTGGAGTCGAGACTGACCGCTAGGAGTGGTCTGCAGAATCGTGGGCTACGCCGGCACTGGAGTCGAGGTCGGTCGCTAGGAGCGGTCTGCAGAATCGTGGGCTACGCCGGCACTGGAGTCGAGGTCGGCCGCTAGGAGCAGTCTGCAGAATCGTGGGCTACGCCGGCACTGGAGTCGAGACTGACCGCTAGGAGCGGTCTGCAGAATCGTGGGCTACGCCGGCACTGGAGTCGAGGTCGGCCGCTAGGGGACGGACGCCACCGTATCAGGCATCACAGGTGCCTGCAGCCGAATCATGCACACACACGAGGAAGAGGATGTCACTTCCCAGGGCGAGCACACTGCGGGTCGCGGGAAAGGGTTTTTTTCGGGGTGCTCCACACCTTGGCTCTAAGGTAGGTTCTGTGGGAAAGGCCAAAGAGGGCTGGACTCTGCGGCCCGTCTGGGTGGGTCTCCATCTACTGATTTGAAAGGCTGTATATTGCGCCTGGCATAAGTTTCTCGATGTAAGATTGTAATTGTGCGCCTTCAGCATGTAACGGCAAACATGTAGCTGTGTTCAAGAATGCGACGTGGCTTGCATCAATTGTGCACATATTAACGAAGGTGAACGATGCCATACATATACCGTGGGGCAAGCCTTCCCCTTTCTGGTGCACTGTGTCAGGATGGCCCTGTGGTGGACGCTGAGCAAACCGTGCCGCCTGCCACACGTCAAATCCGCGTAGCAGGCGGAGCGAGTGAACGCCAAGCTGAACGACGATACATTGGCATGGCCCGTCGGTGAACATCAGGATTTTACGGGGCGACTGGCGCGGCGCTGACTGTCGACGTAGAAACACCTGCTCCTGGCACCTGCTCGAGTCCCATGACTGCGAGGGCAGACTGCCCCGATGAGGTCTTGGCCTTGTCTGACCGGAGCGGACGTAGGTCCAGCGGGCCACAGTGCACACCTTGTGAGCTGGCTGCGCTGATGGGGATACCGGTCCTGCGAGGTTCCAGTTCTGGCGGGCGGGCCCGCGCCCGATCACAGAACAAGCCGCACGTTGTCACATAATGCCTTTATTGGTACAATGCGCCGAGCCGCTGCGTTCATTGGCACGTCATTACAACAGTACAACACTATGGCAGCCCTAACGACTTGATATAAATAAAATAGATGATTAAATAATCGCTCGAACAGCTACAGCGGTGAATGACCGCGCATACAGACGCAAGGCCCCACAGCTGTCTCTGGGCGCTCACCCAATACGCCGCCAGGCCAGCCAGTGAGGCGGCGGCGCAGGCAGGGCGCGCTTCAGAGGCACTGTGCGATTCGGGCGTCAGCGCGCCACTTCAGGGTCGTCATTCCCGCCCCGGTCACTGCCGCGTGGCCCCCGCGAGCTCCTCCAGCTGCACCCCGAGCCACGGAGCCCCGAGCCTTGTTGCGCGGCGTAAGCGCCGTCAGCTGTTACAACATGCACGCGATTCTGTGGGGAACGAAAGACAACCGAGCCGCCACTTCCCACTCTCGCCGGAACAGACCTTCACGCATGAAACCCCATAGCACAGGGCGGCTGTCTCGAGTGAAAAAAAAAACAGAGCACAGGGCGGCTGCCTCGAGTGAAAAACACAGACCACAAGACGGCTGCCTCGAGTGAAGAACACAGAGCACAGGGAGGCTGCCTCGAATGAAATCACAGAGCACAGGACGGCTGCCTCGAGTAAAAAACACAGAGCACAGGGCGGCTGCCTCGAGTGAAATCGCAGAGCACAGTGCGGCTGCCTTGATTGAAAAATGCCGCAGCTAGTGGTTCTGTTCGTACTTCGTCTACCATGCGCAAGGTTGGAGACGCCCTCTTGTTTCGCGTGTAGTTTGGCCACTCTGATCGTGTTGGGATCGTTAATGGCGCCGGCCGCCTGTTCAGACCACAGCCCTCTTCTGGTGCGCAACGCGCAGAGACGGACAGCGTGACTCCACCAGACGGAGTCAGAGTGCTGTGGACTCCGCCTCTTCCACTGGCGGCGGCGACCTCTCGGCCTTCTCCGCCGCGTCCACTGCGCCCGCCGGCGGTGGGGCCGCCGAGAAGAATCTCCTCTGAATCTCCTCGAGCGAGAGGCCGCGCGTCTCAGGAAGCCAGAAGGTGGCCAGTGCCACCTGCAGCAGATTGACGGCGGCGAAGAGCCAGAACGTGCCGTAGTTGCCGAGACCTGACACCATGGCTGGGAAGAAGTGGACAGCGAGGAACTGCACCACGCTGAAGTAGAGCAGCACGATGCTGATTGCCATGGAGCGTACGCTGTTGGGCAGCAGCTCTACCAGGTAGGTGAAGGTGATGGGTGCGATGCCGGCGCCGTAGGATAGTGTGGTGGCCAGAGCCCCGGCCAGTACCAGCCACGGGTACTGGCCCAGCAGGAAGAAGGCGCCCATGGCTGTACATCCGACCATGCCGAGCAGGCCGGACACCTGCAGCAGGCGAAAGACGGCGGGCTCAGAAGTCGTCAGCCAGCCAGGCAGGCGGGACGCAGACCGACAGAGACCAGGCGGGACACAGGCCGATAGAGACCATATGGGACACGGGCCGACCGTGACCAGGCGGAACACAGACCGACAGAGACGAGGCGAACACAGACCGACAGAGACCAGGCGGGACACAGGCCGACAGAGACCAGGCGGGACACAGACCGACAGAGACCAGGCGGAACACAGGCCGATAGAGACCATATGGGACACGGGCCGACCGTGACCAGGCGGAACACAGACCGACAGAGACCAGGCGAACACAGACCGACAGAGACCAGGCGGGACACAGGCCGACAGAGACCAGGCGGGACACAGACCGACAGAGGCCAGGCGGAACACAGGCCGACAGAGACCAGGCGGGACACAGGCCGACAGAGGCCAGGCGGGACACAGACCGACAGAGACCAGGCGGGACACAGGCCGATAGAGACCAGGCGGGACACAGGCCGACAGAGACCATATGGGACACGGGCCGACCGTGACCAGGCGGAACACAGACCGACAGAGACCAGGCGAACACAGACCGACAGAGACCAGGCGGGACACGGGCCGACCGTGACCAGGCGGAACACAGACCGACAGAGACCAGGCGGACACAGACCGACAGAGACCAGGCGGGACACAGGCCGACAGAGACCAGACGGGACACGGGCCGCCCGAGACCAGGCGGAACACAGGCCGACAGAGACCAGGCGGGACACAGGCCGACAGAGACCAGACGGGACACGGGCCGCCCGAGACCAGGCGGAACACAGGCTGACAGAGACCAGGCGGGACACAGGCCGACAGAGACCAGACGGGACACGGGCCGCCCGAGACCAGGCGGAACACAGGCCGACCGTGACCAGGCGGGACACACGCTGACCATACAAGTGCGGACACAGAGCAACGAGACAAATAGACCGAGATGAGGCGAGATTGAGTACATATCGATAGTCGGAACGCGGCCATACCGACGAGAGGGGATACACCGAGCTGACAAGACGGGGCACACCGAGCTGACGAGACGGGACACGCCGAGCTGACGAACGAAACACAGATCGGTAAACACAAGACGGGACTTCCGGTCAGACACGACACGCGGCCGACGGCCGTGTGTCGTGTTTCGTCGGTCGAGACTGGACGGGACACCGAGACAAAACAAACTGAGACCGAGACGACAATGGACAAAGACCGAGATCAAGACCATGTGGCATGCAAATCACCCAAGGTCAGGCAGAACTTACAGTGAACGCCGCCGTGTTGACTGAACCTTGCACCAAAAACGTGCAAGTCTTCAAAACTGTGTCACAGCGCAGTGAAATGATACGGTAAGACTTTGAAATGCACAGGTTACGCGGTGTTAGCGAGCTTATGTGTCATACGATCTGTTAAACAATGTGATTTGATTTCGATAGGGCTATCGCTGGCGCTGCAGTTGCTGACACTGAAATCTAAGGCGAATGTGACTGACCACCCCGCCTGACCGTGGACCAGCGGGCCGGCGAGCTGTCACAGTTCGGCGCACGCGGCGTCCACTAGCAGCACCAGGCAGCCATCACCCGGCCGGCGGAAGCCTGACCTGCAGCAGAACTCGGCGGTTGCAGCGCTCCAGCAGCGAGCCAGAAATCAGCATCGACAGCGCCATGGCCGCCGAGATGTACATGGAGCTGTGGTAGGGGTTGATGTCCCCGCCGGTGGAGCGGAAGATGGCCGGCCCGAACTGCACCACACCAATCGCGCCGCTGAACACCAGGCAGAAGAACTGCAGCAGAAGCAGCAGCGTCGGGTGCAGGTTCTCCCAGCGGCGGAAGACGTGCGACAGGCGCGTCAGCAGGCTGGCCGCGTGCCCGGAGCGGGACAGCGACTCCTCGATGTTCTTCACCTCCTGCTTGACGTCGGCGCCGTCGCCGAGGTAGAAGCGCACGGAGCGCTCGGCCTCCTCACTCGGGTGGCCGTGCGCCAGCAGCCACTTGGGCGACTGCGGCAGGAAGAGCAGGCCGCACGCCTGCAATACGGCCGAGGCCGTCACCAGCGAGAACTCCACCGTGCGCCACGGCAGCCGCGACCCCAAGCCCAGCACCAGCACCACCGTCACCGGCGTCACCGTGTTCAGCACGTTGCCGACGGCGCCGCGCACCGTGCGACAGGTCACCTCGCCGACGAACGCGCGCGCCGGGCCCTCCACCACGCCGAAGTAGAGGCCGATCAGCAGGCGGCCGGTGACGGCCCAGCCAAAGCCGGCACCGAGGCCGACCATGGCGGCGCCGGCGACCGCCAGCGGCAGCAGCGCCAGCAGCAGGCGGGGCGCGCCCAGCCGCGGAGACAGGTACACGGACGCCACGTTGCCGGGGATATTGCCGAACGTGAAGCACGAAACGATCCAGGTGACCTGCGTCAGTGTCAGGCGCTTCTCGCCGTGCTGCGGGTCGCGCTCCGTCTCCTGCGTGAAGAGGACGCTGCCAGAGCCGATCGAGCAGCCCAGGATGACGAACGTCTGCGCGCAGATCAGCGCGGCAGCGATCTGAGGAGAGAGCGGCCGTCAGCGGCGAGATGTACTATCCAACTATAGGGCTGCATGGACACTGGGATGGCGCTGCGAGCGCTGGGCTGTTGGACATTACAAAGTGTAGAGGAAAATCGAGCCGGGGAGAGAAAATGTGGCGAAAGAAACTGAGGAAGGCGATGCCATAATCAATGGAACTAGCATTACGGGCTACAACTTCACGGTGTTTCAATGAGCTTCTGACTGGCTAAAGCGTAAGGCTGGCCCGCTTGTTCTAGGACGACGAGTTATTACACTGTAGCCAAAGTTGATACGAAATGGACAATGTCTCCCCGTTTCCCACCTCTTCAAGCCATTAGTCTATCAAGACTTCTGAGCAAATCATCTTTACGTAATGTTTTATTTTCAGGCACATTTAATCCCTAAACGCTGTGCAGCTGGCACAGCGAGCGTCACAAATTCATATGACCCCCTTAATCCACATAACGACCATGTTGTACAAAAGCAAGCATTGCATGAGGGACAAGACGAGATGCGCGTGCCGTCGAGGCCTTGTTGTCCCCTCCCACACCTCACCTGAGCACATAGCTTCAGTCAATGGCAAACAATGTTCAGTGCTTAAGTATTCTCCGCAGATACCTTGGATTTCCAATAAAACGCTCAATTGAATTCAGAGACGTCATAGCGATGTCGATAATGTGCTACATCTACTCGTCTTTTACCTTAAGTGTTCTACATTGCGTGTTATGCATCCCAGAAATGTTCCAGGTATATATATATATATATATATATATATATATATGTATATATATATATGTATATATACACACATGTATATATATATATATATATATATATATATATATGTGTGTATACATATATATATATATATATGTACATATATATATATGTGTGTGTATATATGTGTATATTTTCTAGATGCACGATATATGGCCAGGATATAAGTTGTGCGTGGTATTCTCACAATATCACTACAGACATACATTCTTGTTAGACATTGTGCATGTGGAAAGAGTATGTTTGAATCATCGTCGGGCACCATGCCGAGGCCTCGTACTTGACCCATAATGGGAGTGCCGCTATCGGCTTTCCTCATGGATGATATCCATTTCTGTCGTGTTACAAAACGATGTCTCCGATGAGAGAGCTTGCGCAACCAGGACGGCCATAGGCAGATAGGGTCCGGTCCCGCACGTGATGCGAGTTCAAAGGCACACCGGAAGGGACACGCTGACAGGACGGGACAAGGCAAACCCTCTAGCAGCCCACGGTAAACCACGGAGAGGCGCTTCACGGGGACCAGTGGCCCAGCGCCATACCAGTCACCAGTGAGAGACATCCGAGCCGGGTGTCGCACAGGACAGGACGGAACTGGACTAACAAAGCTGACCCTTGTCAGAGGGCGTGACGCGCCCGCCACAGCGGGGCAGGGAAACTGCCGAACGCTGCAGCGGTTGCGCCCAGCACTGAGTCATGACCGGTCAGTGCCGCTTCGCTGGCCTCCGTGGCACAATCGCCGATGGCAGAGGCGGCGGCCGCGCACAGCGTGGTCCGGCTCGTCGCCGGCCGACTGCTGGTCCGTCGCAGGTCACGAGGCCCACACAACGCGGGTAAGGTCACGGCCGGCCGACTGCTGGTCCGTCGCAGGTCAGGACACCCGGCCACACACCCCGGCAAGGTCACGGCCGGCCGGTGGGCCGAAAGGCGCGCCCAAGGCACTCGCGTCCACACACCCACCACAGGGCGGGGTCGTGACTCGGCGTCCGCGCTGCGGGTGCGGGGTCGCTCGGAGTTCGGCCGGCTCCACTGGCAGGCACCGACGCGAGCCTGACCCGCGCTGGTAGGGAGTGTCGACCAGTGAGATGCCGTGAGCTTGTGTAAACAGCCTGACACACTGAGCAAGGACAGGAGTCCGTCTCTGACAGTGCTCGTTGACGAATGGGGATCGACCTCATAAGGCGGCTGTGGTATGTCTGGGCCCGAACATCCACTAAACAGACCAGCGGCCCCCGATTTCCAGCCTCCAGTATCGACCGCTAACGACGGATGGCACCACCCACGCGCGTGTCCCCCTGATGTAAAAATTCACCGTCGACGGGAGTCGAACCCACTTGGCGTGCCTCGATCGGAGATCAGAGCCAGGAGAGCTGAGCGAGACTGGCGGCCAGCCGGTTTGCTGCGGTAAAATACAAAATAACGCTGGCAAAGCCTTGGCATTCGGATCATATGTCTCCCAACGCGGTCGACTTGTTTTGACTTGAGATACAGTCATAGAATACACGAATCACTTGCTCCTTTATTTTATTCTAACAGATCGCACATTGGGCGGATAAAGGTAGCTCTCATGAAGCTTTCGTCGGCACACAGCAGCAGCCTTTGTCGCTCCCCGGTTCAACGCCGCTCTCTCCGTTGCCGTTCGCTTTCACCGTCCGGCCGCCACCGGAAGGGCTGCGCCGCCAAAGGTCAAGGACGCGGTGCGGTTTGTCAGCCGGCTGCCAGCCTCGCCCACCGTGCCTGCCTCCACCCCTCCCCCTCCCCACCTCCCCCGCGGTGCCGGCGGCCAACACCTGGACATGACCTCATTCCGCCGCGGTCGTGCGGTGATCGGAATTGGCTCAGCCCTGGGGTGAAGTCTAGACTTTGATAAGAGGGATGAAGTGCAACGCGCACGCAGCGTTATGAAATCGCCCGGCCTTCACCAAACGGCAGATAGATGGCGATAGGGTTGGCGCCGTAAATGAAACAGGCATTTCATGCCGGACGTTCGTGACAAAAAGCGACGGAAACCAAAACCGTGGTTCTGAATGCCAGTTGGCACCTGTGGTCTTATTTCATGAGTGCTCAACTCTAAAACGTTTGAACGTGAGTGCAATATGTGACAGGGATCATGTTCTTACGCAGATTTTGTTTCCGTGCAGGAACCAACGCGTTTGGGCATGGTCGGAATGGGTTGAGACGTAACGGGATCCACGCTTGGATATAGGTACATTACTCGGCATGCAACGCTGGATGCCTCGTTGTGGAGTTGACTGTAGTGTGTCAGGGTCGTGTTACGTTTTTTGAATTGCCGAGATGTTTCTTGTACATATTCGTGGGGTAACGTTAATAGATGTTATCTCACCCTTCACGCACCACCACTCATCACAGGTGTCGATTTATATTTTTGGGTGGCCCACTGCCCCTCCCCCCTGCCCAATTCGCCCTGCCCCCGAACGGTGAGCTGGCGCCCCAACCATCTGAACCCCAAGTATAAGCAAAATGTTTCCAAAATGTTACCAAAATCATATCGATTTTGACCCACGCCCGGCCAGGGCAGTCGACTCCCCCTACGATTTTTCGAGCACAGGTCAAAATCGATCGCTTGCAGGAGCATCGAATGTTCACTGCCTTTTCGTAAATTAATTAGGTACCCTTTGTGCAAATTAAAAGCTTTGATCTGCAGAGGTCATGGACCTTAGCTCAGGTAAAAAAGGGCAACATCTAAAAAACTTTGGTCACGCATAACTTTGTATGCTATTTTTCATTCCTCAAACTTGCTATAGCAATACAACATGATAGAACGTGCAGTTTGTTCATCTGTCAGTGGCTTGGGTGAGGTCAGTTTTTGCTTTTTTCGTAAATAATGCAAAGTTTACGTATTCGTTTGCAGGCTTGGTGTTTGTGTGTGAGAATAGAGTGCTACCTTAAGTTTGCAGCCTTCATATGACCAAAGGCAGCATGACATTGGCCTAGGCCACGACCTACGGGGTGCCTTCTGCAGACAAATGCTAAGCTTAAAAACAGCAATTTTTCTAGGTAACTTTAGGTGCATTCGACTTTTCCATTAAAAACGTGCTTAAACACAAAGCAATGTATAATGAGGTCACAATAGGTCACGTGAGAGCATGCAAGGTCATAGGAGGTCAATGGCCTCTTGTCTGTTGCGGAGAGGCTAGCTAAATGAGTGCGACGTGTGTAACCACCTCTATATCATGTTTGTGAGGCTGATGACGTAAACCTTTATGTACCACCGTGCCTGTTCTCAGCTTATTACAAATGCATCGCCAAGCGCCAGAGAGACTATGTATAATGTGTGCAAGAGCTTTGCGATCTTGAGCACCTGTAGATGTACAACACACTATTTCTGACTACAGAAAAGCATTATGCTTGATCCAGTTAGCACTTTAAATGTGCTCATTTGGATAGTTTATGAATTTAAGCTAAGTTGACTTCAGCTCACCTCTAGGTCAGCCTAAAATGGTATTTTTTGTTTATGAGATGCTTTTTCACAGCTACACCTAGGAAAATAACCTAAAATCAGAAGCACCTTGTGAAACAAAACCAAAGCTATCGTTCTTGTAGTCTACTGAAAGATTAACTATGAACGATGATCTGACCTGAACCTCGTGGGCGGGCAAAAATGTTCAGAATGCACTCTCAGCAGTCTTGACGCCTACTTCTGTTTTCTTAATAGCTGTTGAGCGTGTTAACATACGCTTTAACAGCAGCCATCATAATTGCCGTTTTTCCTTTTGTGACCTCTGGTGACCTCACACCTCACCTAAGATCAAAACATTGGTGTGCATTCCTGAAGATTCGACGACGCTTTCACTGCGGTATATTTGTTTTTTCTCGTGTGACGTCTGCTAGTTGGAGATCCCTGGGGGGGGGGGGGGAGGTGGGAGTTTAACACCTACCGGCCGGGCGCGGTCGTCTCAGACCGCCGGCCCACCATGTTCAGCTGAGTGCAGCTG